AAGGAAAACCAGAAGGAAGGTCACCACTTTTTGAGATGTTGATCGTCGCTTTGGCAGCAATCAAAGGGAAAGGTGATACATCATAAACTAATAACAACATTTTGCATCTGATGATGAGACTATATATATGCTGGTATTTTTACTACGCGTATTTAGTACGCCAACCCTTTTCAAAGAGAATGCAACATGAAACGTAATGCATATTAAATCATTGATGACGATGGGTGCAAGTTAAGCTGATGCTAACCCCTTTGAATTATCCTCCACTGGGTGGCGTGCTAAGGGTGCATAAACGGCACCGAATCCGACCCAGGATTGTTGTCATCACAGATGGAAAGTTGACGGACGAAAAACAAGATAGCGGCCCCGATATACAGTCAGACAGCGTGAGTTACTCTCACAACTATTCCAATGCTGCTTTATCTGACCCAACAAATTATTGACTTTAATCTAGGAAATTGTGGGTGGCTGCCACGTACCCAATAAAGAGTTATTATTGTGACGATCACTTAATGAACCAAAGACGAATATATACGTGAATATACGTCCCTTGCTTGAATGAACAACGTGCCAAACTCCGGCTCAGCGGACTTAACATAACATCACTGCCACAGGCTAATTTGCATATCACGTGACCGGACTTTTCTCTTGTTTGTAATCAAACGCGTAACTATATTCATAATAAGAAGAGACTGGACTCACGAAAGCTTTTCGGCGCTCTTTTCATAATGTTTTACATTGTTACATATATATTCTTCCACAACTGCGACAGTGAGGTCTATGACAGTACATATTTAGATATCAAACTGGCTGCATCGTTTGCTCTCCGTCAGCTTCGATGAGCACGTGGAACCATGGAACAACCTATGTAAACAAAGGATCGCTACGCAAATCGAAATAGTGTTACATGTTTTGGATATTTTCTCAGTGAAACTAAACCATTCTATTAAAGATGTTTAAAGTTAGATGTGTAGACTCGTCAAAAATAAAGAGTAAAAGAAATATGTACATTATATTGAATGGACATTGCAAGATGACGAATCGTCACAATTTTCACCTCAATGCAGAGAGATACTATGCTGGCTGGCCGCATGGAACTCTGGGTAGGAGATTGACAACGTGCCAGACGATCTTCTCATGCTCATCTTCTTTTGACGCCATTTTATTCAAGGGCCCCTAACTCTCTGTTTGCACAAGCGGGAGGTAATCAGAACATAAGCGACGTTAAAGAAAGATCTTTGTCTCCCTTAGACTACCAAGGTATCTAATTTAGAAATCAATATGAAATGAGGTAAATATCTCTATGACGTTAGTTAATAGGAATGCCCAGTCTTCACTATTCTATGAAAGATATTCCATTTGATGAAAAAGGACAAAATAGCTGAAATTGTACAAATTATATGAATGGACTGTTGAAGTCACACCTAACATTTACAACAATTATTTTACACAGTTTCAATTAAATGATTATGTAATGATACAACAGTAGTTATTAAAACGTGCTATAAAACGATAATGTGTCAGGTTTCTATATTCAGTCATGATAAGCGTTATACTCCTTACACGGTCTTGTGTACATACATTAACATCTTTTGTGTCGAAGCATATGTTGCATTTATTGGATGATTATATTGTGAATATATGGAATGTTTGGGATGTGTTTCAGGCTAAAGTTCCTATTATCCGTCTAATAACAGAACTAGGATCAAGAAACACAAGACCAAACCCTCTCCCATTGTTTGGATGCCAGTCGGAGACCTTGACAGAAGTAAGATTTGGTGCAGGGATGTGTCTTTATATATGTTTAAGCCTATTTACTTTTTCATATTAACCGTAAAGGAACCACAATCGCTATGTGAAGGCTTAGGAACAAAATCTAATCGTGAGAGTGATCTTTTTTAGGATTTGCTGAAGTCTCTAGCAAAACTTGGTAACGGGCAAGTAGCAGAGGAGAAAAGGACCTACAGAAGCTGATCCGTTACTATAAAATACAGGTACCGTTTATGTTATGGAAATATTGATATCAAGACAATACAAAAACACATTTTCTTGTCTGAAGATACATTCTACGAGACTTTGAAACCCATTTCAACATAATACTTGAAAATCACTCAATGTCTGCAGCGGCGGCCATGCCTGCCATGAATGAGTCCACCAAGGACACAATGAATGCATTGAATAAGTATATATATTGCTATGTGTAAAATGTGCATGATTGTTGCAGTAATAATATGATTCCATTACAGGACAGTATCGGCAAGATCTATGCTTGTGTCCGCAGCAACATTGACGACTATCCGGATGTCCAGCAGGCCATTAAGGATGTAGCGCAGGGCATTACAGGGAGGTCGATCAAGTGACATTGTAAGCTATGAAGGCTCTACATTACCTCAAACCACCACAGAGAGAGAGACACATACACAAGACACACACACAGAGGGACACACAGATCTCTAACTCTGCCTTTAGCGGTCAATCATGGATCATATAACAGAAATGTCCTAGACAAAATCCTCAATACTGTAGTGGTAAATAGAAGGATAGGGTTTACAGCCGCAATATGATAACTGGTAGGTAGGTGTTGTCAGATGGGACTGTTCGAGCTGATTATGCAGAAGAAACAGATTTAACCCGAAAATCGTATTCTCTATTATCGGACCAAACAGATTCAATTGAGTTAAATAAGACAAGTAGCAGTGACAATTATGCTACTAGATCAGAAAGCATCGTCTGCCATACCGGTAGCACCCGCCACTATTCCAAACTAGCCGCTACAAATCCATGAAGACGTCTTTTATACGTGTTTTTAAATCGTTTGCGATATGGTATGTGTCACAGTTTGGACGACCCGTGAAGATTAGGGTGATTAGAATTGGTCTTCAGCAACCCATACTTGTCTCTATCCGTGAAGATCCGGGATGATAACTGATCTTCAGTAACCCTTTATGCCCATACTTCTTGTCTCTATCCGTGAAGATCCGGGATGATAACTGGTCTTCAGTAGCCCATGCTTGTCTCTATCCGTGAAGATCCGGGATGATAACTGGTCTTCAGCAACCCATACTTGTCTCTATCCGCGAAGATCCGTGATGATAACTGGTCTTCAGTAGCCAATGCCTGTCCTGTCCGTGAAGATCCGGGATGATAACTGATCTTCAGCAAACCATACTTGTCGTAAGATGCGACTAACAGGTAGCAGGAGGTGGTTAGGCTCGCTGACTTGGTCGACACGTCATCGTATCCCAAGTGTGAAGATTGATGCTCATGCTGGTGATCACTGGATTGTCTGGTCCAGACTCGATTATTTACAGACGGCCGTCATATAACTGGAATATTGCTGAGTGCGGCGTTATACAATAAACTGTTTGACAGGATGAGATCGTAGCCGCTGTGCGTGACAAGATCGCCAGTGAGGAGGGAGACACGAAGCCTGACGACTTTGACAACGTGTACGAGAACCCTGAGCTTGCACCCACTTGGTAGCAGAGTAATCAGAACCAAAGACTGGCGGGGGAGGATCAGCGCTCGCAGGATGTGGGCACCATCATCAACCACGATGAGAACGAAAGTAAGTTTTGGCAGGGATGCTGTTGGTCACCTAAACACAAATATACTGAGAGAAACAAATAGAGGAACACCGGAAATTTCCAGCGTTTCTTTAATAATTTCCAGTTTTAATCACCAGCTTTGAATAGCGCTGTGGGAGGAAATATGAGAATAAATAACGGAACACCCTGAAGTTGTGTTCCCTTATTTGTTCCCTCAGTATATATACGATCTGTCAATTTTTCTCTAACAGTTTAATATAAAGATGAGTTCACTTTTAAGGATGCTCTGACGCCATTATTGAACTGGAGCCAGTATTCGCCATATTCTGATCACAGCCACTACATTTAGCTCCCGCTCTTAAGCTTTTGTAAAACGCTGTAATTTTACCGCACACCGGAATGAAACCATGGCAACATAACAATATGACTTAACTCATGCCGATTCGTCTTATTTCTGGAATACTTTTTGATGATAAAGTGAATTATTGGTGTTCAGAAATGCAAGAATTAAAGAGTAGAGCAATTCTTACACAACATGTAGTCAAGTCCTACGTGGTATACATATGCTATACTGATGATAGGACGTGTATTTTGTGGTGGAATGCATGTGATCCTTATAGATAAAGGAAACAATGGTGATCATGATCCTGTTCCATTGTTTCAGACTGGAGTGTGGGTCCTCTGGGACAGTGGCGACACCAATCGGCAGCGCTACGATTTAAATGGTGTCTTTGACGTCGTTCTAGATGACGGACGTCCTCGCGTCCCGGAGTCTGAACAGTTCCCCCAACTTGGGGTCAGAGTTAAACGAGGTCAACACATGTCTGTTACATACTGTCTGTTTTATACTGTCTGATTCATACTGTCTGATTCATAATGTCTGTTTTATACTGTCTGATTCATAATGTCTGTTTTAATACCGTCTGATTCTTTCTGCATGATTCATTGTAAATCGTATTGGACTGTTGCGAGGACATCTACTGCCTGAAGTAAACATTGTCAACTTAATACAAAATACTAAAAAGCATATCTGTCCCGGTAAATCAGTTTGCTCTCTTGGAGCATCGATAAATACATATCGAAAGGTTGCAAACCTACATGCCCCCGACACGTAATTGGGGTATACTTAGATTCCACGTGCAAACCAACAAACCATGTTATAAAAGTTCCTTTAAGTAGGAAATAAGAATGAGACCATGTGTTATCTCCCTCTCCCTCTCTCTCTCTCCCTCTCTCTCTCTCTCGCTCTCTCTCTCACTCTCTCTCTCTCTCTCTTGCTCTTGGGCACTCTCTCTCCTAGTTACAAAAGCCCCACTAGATACGATATTAACGGTTTAGTCGATAAGTGAGTATGGACTATAGATTTGGTTGTGCTTGGATGCCAGGTCACTGCTGGGAGTCCAAGAACAATGACAGGCGGGAGAGGGTAACACTGGCGTCGTCATCAGAACAAAGGGGTGATCAGGAAGTGAAGGTGAGAATTATCTTTGGCTTCATGTTTACTTTGCACCATGCATTCGAGGGACATTATCATTTTCATGCAGAGAGGGACCAATGCAATGGCGGGGGTGGGGGTGGGGTGGGTTTGGGGTTTGTGTGTTTCAGGGGTTCGACCATCCCCTTTGAAAATGACTTAAGACCACATTGAAGATTTTTTTTGCGTTGGCGGAGCCAATGTGGGAAAGGGGTGTTTCGAACCACCTGACCGCCCCCCTCTCAAAATTCCTGGATCCGCCTACACACACCTCACACCCTCTCCAATTACAAAAATTGAAGGGGTGACAACCATTATTGGCATGTGTATATGATTGCGATGAAATAGACTTGAAGAAGTTGAAAGCAAAGTAAACAGTTCAGCTGCAAACCACTGACAAGTAAATGCGTGTATACATTTTAATGGTTATAGTAACGGAGTACAAGACCTACGGACATAGTGCTTTCATTGTGTTAAAACAATCTCTTGTTATATATAAGTACTTTTGAAAGAAAAATCTTTCCAATGAGTATATAAGCCGATTGCATAGGTCGACCAAAATCAAGATTAAAAATCGAAGTGATCGCATGTCTTTATCTTAATTTTCGCGCAAGAAAGAACCAAAACAAATAGGTTCAATAATAAAAATATAAACAGGATCCTCCAAATCTTACATATAGTTTCACCTTACCGACAGTTCTATTCATAACTCATTTATATAGGTGAAAACGTTTTTAATCACCGACCCTATGAACAAACTCATTTAACAATGTAAAGGAGAAAGGTCTAGCTGTGGACACAACATTTTAGGCATTTGTATTTCACTTTGACATCAGGTACGGTGGAGTAACGGCAACATCAAAACCCACAAGTTTGGACTGGATGGAGTCTACGAGCTGGAGATATGGTAAGTACTAAAAGCAACATTGTTTTCCAAAATCAAGAAAACAATGTAACACTTGATTTTCACATATTCTATAGAAACAGAATGCTTTCTAATATTGATGAGGGCATGTTTTCAGCAATGAGAAATTTGTTCGACTTCTGTAATTTCAGAACATAATTGTCTTGGACAACCGAGCCCCTCTCTCCAGATAGACCTCGTGTAATCCCATATTAACACGAGCACGTGCTTTTCAGACACATGCATGCCAGCCTGTGTCAGTCCCTCATCTACTTATTCATCTGATAACACACAAGCGCACTCACTCACGCACGCACGCACGCACGCACACACACTCTTCGAATGTTCACCAATACACCACAAGCGTGTATCACTATGGTATCTGTGTTTCAGCGAGCCGCTCGTCCACAAGAAACATACAGGTGGAGAGTTGAGGTTCCCTGGACGACCCCAAGATACAGGTATGTTTCATACGAGTATACATAGTGTCACCTTATTAAGTGAGTGAGTTTAGTTTTACGCCGCTTTTAGCAATATTCCAGCAATATCACCGCGGGGGACACCAGAAATGGGCTTCACACATTGTACCCATGTGGGGAATCGAACCCGGGTCTTCAGCGTGACGAGCGGACGCTTTTATCACTAGACTACCCCACCGCCCATGTCACCTTAGTAAAGTAAAACATTGGATCCTAGGAAACACCCCAGGACACAGGTATGTGTTTGTTTCACACTTGCCGGTATAGTGCTACATAACTGAAGACTAGACCCCAGGACACAGGTATGTGTTTGTTTCACACTTGCCGGTATGGTGCTACATAACTGAAGACTAGACCCCAGGACAGAGGTATGTGTTTGTTTCACACTTGCCGGTATGGTGCTACATAACTGAAGACTAGACCAGGACACAGGTATGTGTTTGTTTCAAACTTGCCGGTATGGTGCTACATAACTGAAGACTAGACCCCAGGACAGAGGTATGTGTTCGTTTCACACTTACACGCATGGTGCTACATAGCTGAAGACTAGATGCCAGGACACATGTATGTGTTTGTTTCACACTTGCCGGTATGGTGCTACATAACTGAAGACTAGATGCCAGGACACAGGTATGTGTTTGTTTCACACTTGCTGGTATGGTGCTACATAACTGAAGACTAGATGCCAGGACACAGGTATGTGTTTGTTTCACACTTGCCGGTATGGTGCTACATAACTGAAGACTAGACCCCAGGACAGAGGTATGTGTTTGTTTCACACTTGCCGGTATGGTGCTACATAACTGAAGACTAGACCCCAGGACAGAGGTATGTGTTTGTTTCACAATTGCATGCATGGTGCTACATAACTGAAGACTAAACCCCAGGACACATGTATGTGTCTATCGGTGTCTAAGTGCCCACACAGTGTCTCCTTACTGAAGGTTGAACCGAAGTACATATGTAAATGAGTGAGTGAGTTAGTGAGTGAGTGTAGTTTTACGCCGCATTCGACAATATTCTAACTATATGGCGACCGTCTGTAAATAATCGAATCTAGACCAGACAATCAAGTGATGAACAGCAAGAGCATCGATCTAGGCAACTGGAATACGATGATTTGTGTCAACCAAGTCAGCGAACCTGACCACCCGATCCCGTTAGTCGCCTCTTACGACAGGCATGGGTTGATGAGGATCAATTCTGACATATTAAGTATTCTATACGTGTATTCATATAGTGTCTCATTACTGAAAGTCAAACGAAAGGACGTGTGTAAGTACACGAAGGACACATGTAAGTATTCTACATGTACATTGTTACGTGTTGATTACCAACAGTTGTGCGAAATAGTTTCCAAATTGTGCTAGCCAGTAGGACTAGCTATGCCTGAAAGTTACTAGCCCACAAAATAATTCTCTGGCCCGAAATTTGAATGTACACATGGGTTTCATCATTTAGCTACTGAAATGGTGAATTTTTTTATCAGGCCACAATCAATTTAAAAGTGTATTTTAACTTAACAAATCGGAGAGAGTGATATATTTATAAAAATGACCCTATGAAAATTCATTAGCCAGTCGGGCCAGTGACTGTGAAGATTTACTGGTCCGACTGGATTTATACTAGCCACGGACCAGCAGGCCTATTTCGCACACTGATTACCAAGTTAGCGAGAAGTGAATCCGACATCAGTCAGTAGAAGAACTTGACGTGAACGTTTCAAACAACTAAACAATGTGATATAATTAATACTTGTATTCTGCAATGAACTAAATTTATCAAAATAATACAAATCACTATAAAGGTATTGAACTTGACAAAGACGTCAAGACAGACCCATACATGGGAATGAATCTACCCAGCAGATAGAGATAGAGGTGACTGTTTCAGGGTCAGGAAGTCCAGGCCTGGAAGAGGAGGAGGACTCCCGTCCGACCGTGTGGAGATGGCATGACGGATATCAATGGAGGCTGTACCAGGACGACATGCAGGTTAAGATTCACCAAGAGTACAACCGGAAAAAGGACGGGACGTGTTTGGTGAAGAAACGGGATGGAAGGTGAATAGCTACTCTCGATCGAGCATAGACGCATGCTCTCATAGTCTCTGCTGATGTAACAATGTACAATGTACAATGACTGACGTCATTGGTGAAAACGATGTACTTTTACCATTTTCAGCTACCGGATATACTTCAAGTCGATGCAAGAAAAGTCTTTAGAAGAAAACATACGCCATGACGTACAAAGACTCCGTAAGCGTCTACTTTCATTATAGTAATAACTGCAACTGATTTATGTTTGAAATCCCTTAAGGTGTAACAGATATTTGAGCAAAGATTTAGTTTTCATATAAAACTTGATTGTGTTATAAATAATGAAAGCTTCCGCCTTTCCATTCTAATAATTGATACATGCAACGTAAGGTTACAAAATGCCAAATCTACAAAGGCGTTTCAGGTAAATATTGCATTGTCTTTGTGGTACATTCAGATGTAGACTACGGGAACTTGCAAATCTTAAAGCAGCGGAATCGCTCCAGGACTAACACAATCATCCCACACCTGGCACCAGGTCTGCGGAAAGGCCGAAACTGAAACTAAAGAAACACCGCAGTTTAGTTAATGTTTACCCGTCATTGAGTGAGAGAGTGAGTGAGTGAGTGAGTGAGTTTGGTTTTACGCTGATTTTAGCAAGATTCCAGCAATATCACCTCGTGTGTGTGTGTGTGTGTGTGTGTGTGTGTGTGTGTTTGTGTTTGTGGGAGAACACCAGAAATAGGCTTCACACATTGTACTCATGTGGGGATACGAACCTGGGTCTTCGGCGAACGCTTTAACCACTAAGCTAACCCACCGCCCTTACCCTCATTGAGAGGGAGGCTGGCTTCAGTAAGATTAATATGGGAGGAGTTATACAGATGTTTACTACGTGCACAGCAGCGAAACCCACGGCCAGGGAAGGGTTCTGATAAAGAGAATACATAAAATGGCTGGACGAGATTCAACCCACGTTCATATTTTTCTGGTCTAGCAAACTGTCACGCCTAAGACAACCGGTAAATGTAATAGAATCAGATGAGAGGGCTACAGTGGTGAGCAACTACCGACGTAACAGCAGCAACAACAAAACTTTACAATATTTAAAAATGAAAAATAAAACCCCAGAAAATGGCAAATGGCCTATAAGCTTGGCTCTCCATAGTAAACCAGCCTCCAGTGGTTGGAGTACAGCATAGTGTGTCTGAAAGGCCAGTACCCCATGTCTGTGGCAGTAGTCGATGAAAAGATGATGATGATGATGATGATGGTGGTGGTGGTGGTTGGCCGTGGGGTTTTGTACACCAACGGCATAGATGTTTGCTGATGCTATCAAACTAGTTTGTCTGGTTTGGGACACATGACGTATCGGCTGTTATAGGTTCACACACAGGTGCTGTCTCCTCTCTTCTTCACATCCCATCTGGCAAGTCGAAATCAAAGTGGGAACTTGATCTGAGTGTTGTTGTTTTCATATTGATTTAACTGAGAGTAAGTATTGTTATCATAAACATTATTCAACCCCTTCTGTTCCAGAGAACCAATCAATGTAAAATAAATATCTGATCCTAAAGTTCTTGTATATGTATCAGCAATATATATATCATGCCATACAGACCACATTGGACCAAATGTGAGTAGACAACGTGTGTGTGGATGTCAATGAATTTGATGCCATGTGTTCATTTTGCCACTCATGAGAACAAATGTATGATCTATGTCCATTCACTCACACTGTAGATGAATGTCATCATGTGTTTGACTTTGTGTTTTCAGTTAACGAATTTTCAAACCGCTGTACCATTCGTTTTCTAAGAGACTGACTGACTGACTGGCTGAGTTTAGTTTTACGCCGCTTTTAGCAATATTCCAGCAATATCACGGCGGGGACACCAGAATTGGGCTTCGCACATCGTGCCCACGTGGGGAATCGTATCCGGGTCTTCGGCGTGACCAGCCAAGGCTTTAACCCTAGGCTACTCCACCGCCCCGTTTCTAAAGAAGTTATTTCAGCGTATTTTCATATCAACACCGAAGGAACTGTCCCATTCTGTCGCCACATGTTTTGTTCTGTACAGAACAATTTATGTCTATTTTGCATGCGTTCACTTATAATAATCTCCTCATTTTGGTTTGTTCATATCTTTCAGTTAATAAACTTCTGTTCTGTTCGGCCTTATTGTGTATGAACACCTAACAATAAGCTAACACTGTTAGACCGCCTCGGTGGTGCAGTGGTTAGAGCGTCCGCCCGGAGAGCGGAAGGTCGCGGAGTTCGATCCCCGGCCGCGGCATAGCAAAAGACGTTAAAATATGGTACTTGTTGGCCCCCTGTCTGTACTAGGCATTAATGGGTACAACTGGTCGGCTCGGTGTCAGTATATAATGTGTCTGAGTTGGGTATTCATGCTTAACTGCGGCATGGTATCTCAGTGAGCTTGCACTATAAAACCAGCTTAAAGGTCACATGCAACGTAAAACACAACTTTGCAGATTCTGATACCTTTCGGTATGGACTTACCGAAACAAATCATCAAAAATGCAAATTCAACTTATAAAGTTGAAAAATAACGCGATGAAAAAAACCCGTGCGAAATCGTAGTTCAAACGATTCACTAATTTTCCCCCAGCGTTTGGGGGGAATTCAAGTGGTTCCAACAGCTGGGCTGCGCTCATAGCACGTGCGCAGTGAAATAGGTTCGCGCAACTTGGAAGCGGGTTGTCCGGTGAATACTAGGTGAAGGCTTTGGTGTGAGCTATTTTTCTAATGTTTTGTTGATATCTCACAGGCGCGAGCTTTTTATATGTTATGACAGTAAATTTACTGTTTATATTATTTCATTTGTCTATTTCACCACACGTTCTTCTTACCGAGTCACTTTCTCAGTTCGATACTTGAAAGCAATGTCATTATTTAGCGTTGACAGAATTTCTAACTGTGATATAGATATGTCGTTGTCACAGACAAAACTCAATGCCTTGTTTTATTGACACATGTGTGTCTGCCTGCCTGTCTGCTAATGACAACATTCAATACACAACTGCGATCACTGACCACATGCAATTTGAACTTAACACCAATCAGGCTATACACCATAAACAAAGTGCATTGATTTATGGCCCGAGTTCGGTCTCTGTCACATTATGTAATTACGCAGACAGGCAGGTGTGATACTTGAACACATAACATGTTATGATGTCTGTTGATTGCAAAATGTTATACACAAAAATGAGCATGTATTTAGAAACCCAACATCTCTATATATACACACACACAATGAGCCGTGAGGGCATCTGCAAATGAACCAGCCGTTACACTTGAGTGCACACCCACCCGCTCTGACCTGGCCATTGTGTGTCATATAACATGGACGGGCGACAGTGTAAGCCATCTCTCATGTGACCTGGTTAATTGTGTGTCATATTACATGGACGTGCGACAGTGTAAGCCATCTCTCACGAGACCTGGTTAATTGTGTGTCATCTTACATCGACAGATGGCAGTGTAAGCCATCCCTCACGTGACCTGGTTAATTGTGTGTCATCTTACATCGACATGTTACAGTGTAAGCCATCTCTCACGTGACCTGGCCATTGTGTGTCATATTACATGGACGGGCGACAGTGTAAGCCATCTCTCACGTGACCTGGTTAATTGTGTGTCATATAACATGGACGGGCGATAGTGTAAGCCATCTCTCACGTGACCTGGTTAATTGTGTGTCACATTACATCGACATGTGACAGTGTAAGCCATCTCTCACGTGACCTGGTTAATTGTGTGTTACATTACATGGACATGTGACAGTGTAAGCCATCTCTCCCGTGACATGGCCATTGTGTGTCATATTACATGGACCGCGACAGTGTAAGCCATCTCTCACGTGACCTGGTTAATTGTGTGTCATATTACATGGACGGGCGATAGTGTAAGCCATCTCTCACGTGACCTGGTTAATTGTGTGTCTAATTACATCGACATGTGACAATGTAAGTCATCTCTCACGTGACCTGGTTAATTGTGTGTTACATTACATCGACATGTGACAGTGTAAGTCATCTCTCACGTGACCAGCTGGCCATTGTGTGTCATATTACATGGACGGGCGACAGTGTAAGCCATCTCTCACGTGACCTGGTTAATTGTGTGTCATATTAAATGGACGGGCGAAAGTGTTAGCCATCTCTCACGTGACCTGGTTAATTGTGTGTCACATTACATCAACATGTTACAGTGTAAGGCATCTCTCACGTGACCTGGCCATTGTGTGTCATATTACATGGACGGGCGACAGTGTAAGCCATCTCTCACGTGACCTGGTTAATTGTGTGTCATATTAAATGGACGGGCGATAGTGTAAGCCATCTCTCACGTGACCTGGTTAATTGTGTGTCATATTACATGGACGGGCGACAGTGCAAGCCATCTCTCACGTGACCTGGCCATTGTGTGTCACATTACGTCGACATGTGACAGTGTAAGCCATCCCTCACGTGACCTGGTTAATTGTGTGTCATATTACATGGACGGGCGATAGTGTAAGCCATCTCTAACGAGAACTGGTTAATTGTGTGTCATCTTACATCGACAGATGGCAGTGTAAGCCATCTCTCACGTGACCTGGTTAATTGTGTGTTACATTACATCGACATGTGACAGTGTAAGTCATCTCTCACGTGACATGGCCATTGTGTGTCATATTACATGGACGGGCGACAGTGTAAGCTTCATCTCTCACGAGACCTGGTTAATTGTGTGTCATATAACATGGTTGGGCGATAGTGTAAGCCATCTCTCACGTGACCTGGTTAATTGTGTGTCACATTACATCGACATGTGACAGTGTAAGTCATCTCTCACGTGACCTGGCCATTGTGTGTCATATTACATGGACGGGCGACAGTGTAAGCCATCTCTCACGTGACCTGGTGAATTGTGTGTCATATTACATTGACGTGCGATAGTGTAAGCCATCTCTCACGTGACCTGGTTAATTGTGTGTCACATTACATCGACATGTGACAGTGTAAGCCATCTCTCACGTGACCTGGTTAATTGTGTGTCACATTACATCGACATGTGACAGTGTAAGTCATCTCTCACGTGACGTGATCGACATGTGATGGTGTAAGTCATCTCTCACGTGACCTACTGGTTAATTGTGTGTCACATTACATCGACATGTGACAGTGTAAGCCATCTCTCACGTGATATCAGTATCCAGCTATATGCGATATCCTAATGAGTATTTTATGATATTTAAAAACAATTGTACCTAATGAACAATCGATTTGTGATATAAACATATACATATATGAATAATTTATTTGTAGCCAGTCGCCAACAAGGAACCATGCAACCGACGAAACATGGCGTAATAAACATTAAACTACCTAACTCCTTAGATAATTGATACACACGTGCTGAGCCCATGCATAAAATCTCTGGTCGATGAATTGTATGACCATGACAATTTATTATACCTACATTGCCCTTCTCAACATTGCCTCTGGCTAAGACTGAATATAACCCCAAACTCTCTTTGTCTGTCTCATTTCCATGGAGACGGATCGAATCATTTGTCAGAAGAGGAGCCAATTCCTGGCGTCTCCCGCGGTGATATGAGTGGAAAATTCCCGTCAGCAGCGCTAAACCCCTTCCCACTCCAGCAGTCGTTAACGGGAAGCCGCGCTTGATTGTAGTTA